GCCTCCTTGCTGGTGGGGTGGGGTGAGGAGCAGAAAAGGCCCTGACTCTGTGCAAGCCCTGCTCAGCAGTAACTAAAACATCCCTGTGTTATCAACACTGTTGCCAGCACAAATCCAAAACATAGCTCCATACTACCTACTGTGGAGAAAATCAACTCTATGCCAGCCAAAACCAGCACACTCATTCAAGTTAACACTCTGGAGTAATTAGAGCATTCAGATGAACCTGATCACTGAGATTAACCTGCGTCACTTTGGCCCTACAGGCTCCCCTTGCCAGAAAAGCCCTCTCATTCGTGCCCAAATCTGTGCCTCCTCCTTAGGCATTGCCCTGTGACAGTACAGTGCTCCTGAGGCTGTACCAGACTGTACCTGTGTGCAGTAAAGGGAAAATAGCAGAAATTACTCTTGTCTATTTGCAAAATCACAGCAAACCCATCTTTATTAATCGACATAGTGAGGGTTCATGTGAGAGCAACCATGCACCAAAGACAGACGAGTGATTGCCTCTGCTTATTCAAGATGTTACTCTAACCATCCATACAATTCTCCTACAGTCTACCACCCACCTTCTAAGTTGTATTTTGTAGGGGGATTAAAGACAGTGGTAATCCCTGGCATTATAGTCGGGCCTCATAATTCAGCAATACCCTTCAGGGGTTGCAATAACTTGTATCGCCCCTGAGTCAAGTTAAATGTTGTCCCCGTTTCTCATCACAAGTCAGAGAGCATTTCCAGAAACTGCATGAAAATGTTCTTTTGGCACAGCAGGTTTACGGAGAGAAATAGGCTTACGTGGACGGGCAGCAACTAAAATAACCTGGTTTCATGTTCCTTTTTGTGTTGGTTGTTCAGGCTTCTCTTGATAGCAGTAACAACCCTGGAGGCATAAAGCTGTGGTTCAGGGAGATTTTAACACTTTGAACCCAACTATATTATTATTTTTAAAGCTGGATGTTTTTCTATTTGGGCCCCAATTACCAGCATCAAACTGTACCCAAGCCAGAACAGACTGAAGGGAAACAGATTGTGCCAGGATGTAGCTTTCTCTAGCAGGCTTTTAGTCTTCATTGCCATGATCCCACAAAAAAAGCTGCTTGTTTATAGTATATACATTAAAAAAAAAAAAACCAAAACCAACCAAACCCAGCCTGGAAACTGCAGTCGTTGAACAACTTGCATGTTCATGGGGTGACCACAAACCACACCTGCGAGGCAAGGGTCTTAGGATGATTTCCATCTCAGGAGCGAGCACACCTTATGGATCACATACATCAGGGTAGCCAAGAATGCAAATACCTATAATGGAAAAACACATCAGCCAGTTAACTTTTTATTATTGGTATGAGTTCCTGCACTGAGCAAACACCTCGTGATGCATTATATTTCTATTGACTGTTGCATGTTTGGAGACATTCATGCGTAGTAGGACAGGGACTAGTTTCTTTCCCCCTTCCCTGCATAGAATCATAGAATGGTTTGGGTGGGAAGGGACCTTTAGAGGTCATCTAGTCCAACCCCCCTGCAGTGAGCAGGGACACCCTTAACCCGATCAGGTTGCTGAGAGCCCCGTCAAACCTGGCCTTGAATATTTCCAGGGATGGGGCCTCCACCACCTCTCTGGGCGACCTGTTCCAGTGTTTCACCACGCTCATTGTAAAAAATTTTATCCTTATATTCAAGCTAAATCTACCCTCCTTTAGTTTAAAACCATTACCCCTTGTCCTGTCCCAGCAGGCCTTGCTAAAAAGCATGGTTGGTGCAAGTAAAGATTTGCTCCTGAGGCCGCTCCACAGTCACCTTCTCACCTTCCTTCCCCTGCTTGCCAGGCACTCACCACAGCAGCAATGTTCTCCTGGTACACGGTGTTGACAGAAAGCAACCTGATGCTATAGGTGAAGTAGGCTTCCAACACGGCAGCGCTGAGGTAGAATAGAGCTGCTGTCTCCTGGAAGATGACATCCTAAGAAACAAGGATCACACAGTCATTTCCAAGGAGGAAGCACACTGTGAAGGGGTAAAAAAGGAACCCACATAAGCAAGCACCAGCCTGTGATTTGGAGCGCAGCAGCAGCAAAGGAGACAATTGTCTACCAGTGATACCAGGAAGGGGAGAGGCCCTGAGGTTTGTCACATCCACTTACCAAGGTGACCCAGAAGCTGCTGCCCCCATGCACCCCACAGATGTAGAGGCAGAGGAGGGTGGTGGACATGATGAAGCAGAACACAGAGACAAACATCACCCAGCCTTGCAGCATGGGTGATGGGATCTTCGAGGATGCCACCAGGATCCAGACAAGGCCCCCAAAGATCTGCAAGTGAAAGTGGGAGAGAAGGCGAGCATGGGATAAATTGCTTTATCCAGAGCAGAGCCAAAAGCCATACATGCCTCTGGCACTAGCACTGCACTTGGCAATAGCCCAGGGATGCCTTTGAGTTCTTCCCAGCCTCCACCTGAAACTGGGTATTTAGCTGGGAGCATCTGCCTCTGACCTTGACCCAAAAAATGCCTCCTTGTAGCCTTGCCTCCTGGTGTCACTGCCATTCACGCCCTCCCCACATCAGTGTGCTCAGGAGGCTGGTTCAGACATTTTTGAAGGCTGGCTGCAATAAACAGGGAGGGTTATTTCAGTAGGGCATGGTTACTTCACACCCAGTGTGGCAGATCCCTGAAAGGAGTGGCGTCAAACCCAGCTCACCTGCACAAACAGCACAGACATGTGGCCTCATGAAGGCCATAGACATGGCCTCAATGAAGGCCATGTGCAAATGTCACCCTGGAAGGAGAGAGAACAGATTGAAGAGAGGTAATATGGCCAGTTTTACTCTCTGAGGTAGGGAAATCAGGTTGAGGCTCCCAGCTCCTCCTGTGAAGTGGGGATTGCATTGGTGCTCCAACATTGGCTACACCGGAGCTGTGCAAGGTACCAGCCGCTGGTCTGGTAGTGGGTGGGACCCCATTCTTCTCAGCCAGCTTTAGAAGTTTGCTATGGGTTTTCTGGTGGGGCAGGGAACACAAGAACAGCTATATCTAGGCTCCATCCTTTCTCTACCAGAAGATTCCTACACAAGAGGATGAGAGCATGATGTCCAATGCTGTGGAGTGTCTGAGCAGCAAGTGGTGTCTCTGCACTAAAATGCACTCAGGAGCTTTTCTCTGCTACACATCAGCCCAGTTGTTTCTTGAACCTGTGCAAAGTTTAGCCTATGCAGCATCCTATCATGAGGAGCTCCTCAGCTGAAACCACACTATGTGGAGCCCAGTGCTGCTGTGGGGACCTATCCCTCATCACCAGCTGGTCTTGGATTTGCAGGCAAATGTCCAGAGGTCAGAGAGCCTCACTGACTCTGAGATGATTCGGATTGCCAGCCTTTGCCAGCATCCCAAGTGCCAACTCACACAAATCATGGCACTTCCATTTCCTTGGAGGCATTCTGCAAGAGGAAGAGAAGTTTCTGATTTATGATGCTCAGAAAATGTCACATCATTTGCGTCACCCCACATTATGTAGGAAAGTTCGTTGGTTACAATATGCACATTGAGATGTTAAATCAAAAATGCTGGTGAGACCTTGCAAATATCGAGTGAAAACAGGTCATCCAAAGTGCTGCTGTTTTGGTGCCTCTTGTAACAAGCGAAGACTGACACTTGAACACTAATCCAGTCCCTGCAATAACTCATGTGGTGACACCATGAGTGCGTTGCAGCTAAAAATCCTGGAACCTTACAGTTGCTCCATTAAAATCCAATGTAACTGGGGTAAGATACGAGGTTGGGGGAAGAAGTATCATTCCTCATTTCTTACCACTCTCCATCTCTCCTTTCTGCAGGATGTGAT